GGTATCGCCTAGTCAGTACTGCGGTGGGGCCACGCGGGAATCCTAGATGCTGCAGTTCTGACTCGTGTTTTGCTCATTTTTTGTCTAGCTTTTTCTTCTCCTTTTCCTCGCGCAGATCGGCTTCTTCAACTGGTATCCTGTATTCGCCCACTTACCGCCACCACGGGACGAGAACTTCTGCTCTAGCTCTCGGTGCCTTCGCCGACACTGATTCGATACGTGCTCTTCGATTACAGTGACGCGCCGACCAGATCCAGGGACAGTCGACTCGTAGCTCGGGTTGAGCCTGCGTCAAGCGTCCAAATACAACCTGCTTTGGTGCACTTGCCACCACTTGTCGCATCGTCTCGTCAGCCAGCTGAACATACGATGCCTTCACGATGGCGCGAGTCGACACAAGGGGTGGGGTTGCGTCGGTGGATCGGTCGATGGTCAGCGGGCTTCAGTGGGTGTTTGGCAGATGTTCTGGACTCCGAAGAATGCCAAGACGCCCACACGGTCTTGGCGCAGGCGATTTCACTGTCGCGTGGTCCCTCGCCTGCGCTTTTGGACCCTGTTCGACGGGGCGGGGCAAGCAATCGAACTGCCAAGAAGCGAACGTGGACATCCCACATCCAGTTGTGCGCATCCATTTGCGCGTAGCTTCGACGCGGAGACTTCCCGTTTCATGCCTTTCCCCTCATGCCCTTCCACCCAGATCCCCCCGCGAGCGGCTGTCACAAATGAGCACGACATTTGGCCCTTCCTCCGCCTCAGGCCGCGTGGTGGCCCAAGTTAGAAACGCAGCCTGGAGAAGGCAGAGCACCACCGCTCGTGTCTGCGACCAACAAGCGCCAAGACTTTTGCGCCTCGCTCAGCTTTCTCGATTTCGAAGCCCGCCGATTTGAGCCTCAGCTCGACCAAGTCGTCCGACGTGCCGCGTTGATGGACAGTTGCTCCCAGCGATCCACGTCGGCTGCCGGCCCTCACTGCCTATCCACAGCAGCATCGCATACATCCAACCCGCAGACAACGCGGTACCAATTACATGCACACAGGCACACATGCACACACTCAGCGAAGCACAAAGCTGACAGCATCGACGTGCATCTACAGTATCTGCATTACCATACGAACGATCCACGGTTGAGCACGTTCACATCGTCAACGGTGCCAAGCCTCCCATCTCGACCACGAGGCCCGGCTGCCAGTCCTCCGAGCGCAATAGGGCAACACTGAATGCTGCTCAGAGGCGCACACGGTCCTTGGCCGGCCGCCTGACAGGAGTTGTGTAGATCGATCCGTCTCTGCACCCCGTAGAACGCGAGCTGAAAGTGCTTCTGTACGATAGCGAAAGCGTTCGACAGAGGCGCATCCCCTGCGTAATGTCGAAGAGACAGTCTGTCGCTGGTTGCACTCGCCGTGTTCCCAAGTCCTGTAGCACACACATGTAGCACAGGACATTGCTCGCCACTTCAGTGTGGCAATAGGGTTCAAGCTGGCCAGCGACCTAAGCGAGCTGCAGTGCAGACACCATGTGTGCAGCCGGTCTGTCAAGGCACGAAGAGCTTGAGAGCAACGCCACACTAGCCGATGCGCCTGCTGCCATCGTGAAGGCAGACGGACGTAGCCTCGCAGCTGTGCAGGACGGATTCAAGACAGGAGACTCTGCGGAGACTGGGCTGATTCGATCTCACTGGCCCGTCGCTTCGCGTCTCCACCATTCCGTATTTCCCAGGTCATGCCCACGTTCTCGTGAAAAGTAGGTCCATCCGAAGCCCGACGGCTTTTCGTTACTCCAGTCTACGCCGCAACCTTCCGCCTCCGATGTCTGTCTCATTGTTCTTACTAGCCGCCGATACCGACCGAGCCGGCGCTAAGAACGTGCGCCCTTGTCAGTCAATTTGCGCACCCCACCGCCACAGTCTTACTGTATGCGTCGCCCCCCCCCCCCCCCCCCCCCCCCCCC